CCTTAAATTTGTATTTAGTTTAAGAAACTTGCTCATGTCAGTTTCTCGCTACCTGGGCCTCGAATTGTGTGTGGCACAAACACCAAGCATTCAGCTCACTTGGAGTCCAGTATCAAACTTTCGAAGTGTATTAATGAATTAGGCTACGTGGAAATCCCCAAAGGAATTGGGATTCGGTTCCTGGCAGGGGCCACGTGTTTTTCTTTTCTTCACTGCGTCCCTTTCAGCTCTGAAGCGCGTCCTGCCTCCCATCCACTAGTGTTTTAGGCCCTTTCCTTCGGGAGGTAAAGCGGGATGGCATGGTGGTGCCCACTCACGTCTCTTCAGCGCTAGGGTTAAGAATAAGTGGAGCTGTACCTTCACTCCCTCGTACGTTTTCATGACATAGCGTTTGATTTAGCATAGGGACAACTTTAGTGCCTTGTTTCTTGCCTGGTATTTAGGCTGATTTCTCCCCCCCCCAAATGTCATTTTGAGTGTAATGTGCGGATGGAAGTAGAAAGGAAGTTTATACTTTTTGGTGATCTCTTGAACACCATATTTCCTACAGCCCTGTCTTTGGCCATGAACGATTCGGGAAAGATGGCTATGGGGGCATCTCTTCATTGGTTTAGGAACTCCTGACATTTCATGGAAATACAGGTCATAATATATGCTGTAACTAATGAACCTGTATAGCTGTTGAAGTGACTACATTATGAGTATGTCTGCAAGTGTGACATTAACGCCCTTATTTGCATATACTTATATAGGCCTAGGCCAAAATGTGAGCCTCTGCAGTTTGGAGGTGAATAGTAAGTTTACTGGCATCGTAGTAGTTAGTTTTCACATTGACATATAAATCCGACCACGTTGGTGTAGGAGTAACACTCTAGAATTGTTATTGGGAGGTGCTTCGCTCGAATGCCCTCGAGATACCGGTTATTTTGAAGTTTTTAGTGGTTTTCCCCACAAGAAAGGTAACATATAAACCATTATAGCTATCCGCATTAAACTGCAAGTGATATGAAAGTGCAACAGCGTACATATTTTTTGAGTATTTTATATGTAAGTTTTGAGGTTTTCACGACGATGACTATGAAGAAAGTCGTCTGCTGGGATCTGGCGCCATGTATTCTTGGTTTTAACCGACGTTCCTCCGAAACATCGGTTAAAACCAAGAATACACGGCGCCAGATCGCAGAAGACGACTTTCTTCTTTATATTTTATATGTTTGAAAAACATTAAAATGATCACTTCTTGAAGCTTGAGACCTTATTTTTCTACAGAGGTGTAAATCACTAATTTGTAATTTGTAGATCTTGTTCGGACTGATAAGCTTGTTACCATGTGTTCATACACATCTGTAATTTTACGGTTAACGGTGATCCCATGTGTCATGTACAACACTTTGAGAACCTCTCGAAGACATTTAAACGTATTCTGTTCCTCCCTGATGACTTCTTATCGTGCCATATGGAGCATCTTTTTATAGTCACTTTGCGAAGCTTTTACGTGACATGACGGCTGGGGAGGGGGAACAAATGCAGTAATTATGAGATCCTCTCCATTTCCTAAACACTGATTGGTTTTGAAGAAAGTCGTCTTCTGGGTTTAGGCGCCGTGTATTCTTCGTTTTGGCCGACGTTTCGGAGGAACGTATCGCCTCCATCTTCAGAGCAGTTGAATGGCTTGGAATGCAGAGAGTAGTAGCTGTAATGATTGGTTTTATTTCAGTGCAGTTGCGTTCCGCTTCCCACGACCACTTCTGCACTATTGTCTTGTGTGAGTAAGACGACTTTCTTTTCGTCATATCGGGGTTACTAAAACACAGTGCCTGAGAAAAATATAGCGTTTCGTGGAAATAAGAGCGTTTAAATTTCAGTCCAGCGCGGTAAGATGCGTGCATTGTCAGCTTCTATATTTCCTTTCATCGTTCTCAGCTGGCACTGTCCCATAGATACCTACCCACGGGCTGCACTCTACAAATGTTTCCCCTCATTTTACCGAGACTGATATCCGGCCTGCAGTGATCAGATCAGTAATACACAAGCAGTCGATTAAAGATCGAACCCATAAATAAAAAAAAAGTTTGCTTAAATGTTACCAGATCAACAGTGCTTAAAGAATCAACCACTTAAAAGTTTGCTAGATTGTATCGTTGTACGATCAAGGAGTCGTAGTAATTGCATACCTTTGCTTAATTATTAGTTGTCGTGTGAAGCATGCTGAAAAATTATACGGAATGTTTAATACTTACGTAAAGTATTTTTTTTTCTCAGCGATATCCGCGTTATTTTTAAGAAAAGGAGAGCGTTAACGCGTAATTTATGGAACGGAAGGGTGCCCCGGAGGGCCGCATGCAGCCCGCGTTCCCCCAGTTTAATAGTTCTCAATGAGGCCGTCTTGCTTTTGGGATTCAAAGCTGACTTCTGAAACTGTATTTGGCAGGACTCCTTGGAGAGGGGGTTTCTCCATCGCAGAAGAAGACATCACAGGAAGACGGGGACATGCATGCCTAAAGTGAGATTCGAACGCTTGATCCCAGTGTTCAAGCGGTCAAAGACTACGCCTTATATTGCGCGACCAATATGGTCGGTTTTTGTTGAGTGTACGGAGAGGTCCAATATAAGCCTTAATCAATCCCTAAATATTATTATTATTTATAATTATTAGAGGGGGTGGGTTTCGCCATGCACTTAGACCAGTTATTTGTCCATTGTGCGTCCCCCTTTAATTTCTACTGTCGCCGTACCCTACCGGTACTGGTGCGTACTATCAGCCCCGTTCAGCCAACGAGGTCGGCCGTCGGTGCCTGATATTTCCCCAATTACCAGAGGCATTGGAAACCACTTGGGCGGGAAATTGTTGCCTAATGAGGATCTTTTACGTGCGGTAAATCTACGACACGGGACCCACGGCTTGAAGTCCGTCCCGGAGGACTTGTTTCCTGAATTTTTCCGCCCTTAAAATTCCACGACCTCCGCCGGGTTTGAACCCGCGTACCTTGAGTCATGAGGTGGGAACGTTACCCCTAGACTACGGAGGCCGTTATCCCTAAATATTAAGCAGCCCGAATTATTTTATCAACTCAAATTGTTTTACGCTGTAAAGCGACACAGAATATGAGATCCGTGACGTTGGAGGTACATTTCACGTCGTCAGCTTGGGATCTAAAACATAATGTGATATCTAGGGCCCGGATTTTTTTAAAATGCATATGCGCATATGCAAATGCATATTTTGAGGGTTTTTGGTCGTTATTGCATATTCTAAACGTAAGAGCATATTTCTGCATATATGTTTGAAATTAAGGATAATTAAGGATGAGACAACCGATTTATGTGGCCGATGCATAGCACATTTCGTAGTTGTTAAGCTACATCCAGACGAACCCGGCAACCCTCATCTTCTTGCTTGCAAAGTACTAGAGAAAACCAACCACAGCACAATAGCAAGATTTGTAAATGATTCTCCGCGACTACTATGGCCATCTGAAATTGAGAATAATTGTTGTAAGGTGCTTGTATTACCCACAGATGCAAGCTCCCTATATGTTGAAAGCAGCAAAGGCCTTACAAGTATTTTATCCTAATCTTATACACGTAACCTGTTTAGCGCACGGATTACACCGTATTGCAGAAAAAATACGCGCACGGTTTCCAGCTGTTAACGATTTAATTGCAAGTGAGAACAAACGATTTCTGAAAGCACCAGCTCGTGTCCAGTTCTACAAAGATTGCCTACCTCAGGTTCCTCTGCCACCTGAACCTATCCTAACTAGGTGGGGGACATGGATATCCGCAGTTTCATTTTATCAGGAGAATTTCAATCAAGTAAAAGAAGTGGTTACAAAACTTGAAGATGAGAATCCATGTGTCCGTGAAGCACAAGTGATACTGTTTATCAAGATGTGAATTTTATCCATGCACATTTTTCTGCAGTTTCAAAAGCCATTGAGAGCTTAGAATCTTACGGTGCACTCCTTCACGACTCACTTGAACTCGTTCAGAAAGCAACTTGCTCACTGAATTCCGCATTAGGCGAAATTGGAGAGAAGATTAAATGCAAGTTAGAAATGGTGTTGAATTCGAACCCAGGACTAAAAAAGATTCAGTCAGTTAGTACTTGAGTGGAATTAGGGTATCTTTGCCAGATGAATGTACCGAACCTTCGGCGCCATTGTATAAATACTATCCAGTCACGTCACTTGATGTAGAAAGATCATTCTCAGCATGTAAACTCATTTTGACGGACAGTAGACGCAGTTTGTCTGCAGAAAACACTGAAAGACTTCTAGTGGCCTATTGTGATGCTTCTTTCGGCAGTGAATGATACGTGTAAATAGGTGAGTCTGAATAAAGTGACCTCTCTTCTTAAATGCATATTATTTTATTTGTGTTACATATTTTCCTGCTTTTTAGCGCATATTTTAAGTACATAGAGATCCGGGCCCTAGTGATATCATATGCAGAACACGTCACGCCGAAGAGTTTTTCATTTTGGAATCACAGATATTTTCTTCTTTTGGTATGTCCTTACAGATAAGCTCTCGCGCCGTGACATTTGGAGAATGCTAAGCATAAGGAAATTCCAGCTGCTAGCACATCCCATGGTAACTTCTTACGTATGAACGAAATGATCATTAATCGAATAACGCAGCGATTCTCACCCGGTTTAAGTTCTTATCGCCTGTACTGAATTGTGAACCTCATCCACCTTAAAAAGGTATTCATGCTAGGCAGAATTTTGTGTGGTAAATGCACCATGCCGATGACGAGTAGTTATGATATTGGTTTACCAATTATGAAAAGATAATACGAATTTTACGACGAATTCTGCAGCTTGTAACAGTTTATTAGCGGACACGTGGACACCCACGGGTTTCAGAAAATTTTTCGTAAACATTTCCATTTGAATACTTTTGTTTGTGGGAGATGCTAAACATTGTTCAAGTACGTATGTAATCTAAATACACAACTATTGAAGATAGGTATTACATGCAGTTTTTCTGTTTCAGGGTCGACACACGAAGACTGGTCAACTTGCCGCTATCAAGGTCATGGATGTTACAGAGGTCAGTTCCTATATTTGCTTTGACAGGTGTTACTATTTGCAGCATTCCACACGCATTGCAACAGCTTCAAGGGAGTTAGCAGTTAACGCATTCGCTTTGCTATTCATATTGCAAGAACCTGTGCTATGTAAACATTAATTTTATCCGGAAATTTTCAAAGATTGTAATTATTTAGGTTATTGCCTATAATTTTATCCAGTATTCTTCTCTCAAATTAAATCTGTAAATAGATGAAATTATTTGCGATCATCAGTGTGGGTTTCAACGTAAAATATCTACTGATAAGATATTTTACCTTCGTTAGATACTGTAGAAAAAATGGGAGTACAATGAGACAGTACATCAGCTATTCGTAGACTTCAAGAAAGACTATGATTCAGTTAGGAGGGAAGTATTGTACAATATTCTGATAGAGTTTGGGGTGCCAACGATAAAGAGCAATCAGCCATTGGAATGAAAAAAATGTTTTCATTTGGTGTGACTGGATGTCTTGTGGACGTCTGCTTTAAGACCATTGAATACATCGATTTGAGAAAGAAGGTTTAAACGTTTTTAGCACCGTTATTGTAAGTAACGTTTTGAACTTCGTCTAGTGGAGCCTACACCAAGGCTGGGCAAAAGTACAGTTCTTGAGAGCTTCACATCCGGCTTGCGCAGATATTGTGAAAATTTATTTATTATACTGCAATTGGGTTTTAGCCCGGTGGCAGTAGTACACAGTAGGACACAACAGACAAGTAACACACATTACACTAAGTGACAACACGTTCAAACAAAACACAATACACAAAACACAACAATAAGGACATCCTACCACAGTGAATACAAACCAAATACGATTAACAACTACAATAATTACAGAGAAATACAAACAACTGCAACAAATACGACAACAACAAGGACATCCTACCACAGTGAATACAAACCAAATACGATTAACAACTACAACAATTACAGAGAAATACAAACAACTGCAACAAATACGACAACAACAAGGACATCCTACCACAGTGAATACAAACCAAATACGATTAACAACTACAACAATTACAGAGAAATACAAACAACTGCAACAAATACGACAACAACAAGGACATCCTACCACAGTGAATACAAACCAAATACGATTAACAACTACAACAATTACAGAGAAATACAAACAACTGCAACAAATACAACAACGATTACAGAGAGAGAAAAAATACAACACCCAAAACACAAACAAAAGGAAACCAACAGTCATGGATGCATAATGTCATTTACTTCACTTCACTTCACTTCACTTCACTTCACTTCACTTCACTTCACTTCACTGCAATTTTTTTCTTTTTAATTATTTCCACCCCAACTTCACTTCGCCTCATTTATCACTTTCCTAACCCTATGCCTAAAGCATCTGCAGGTAGTTGCTTATACTTTCAATATTACTTTAATTTATGTTAACTTTTTTTAAAATTAAAAAGCTTGCCCGCAGTAATGTGAAGAGTAATGGCTTCAATTATACATACGGTACTTTTCGGCTTATTAGAACATCCTTAAAACATGTTGCGGTCTGCGTTCCGTTCACCTCTTTCCGGCCAAGGAGAGCAGTTGCAACCCCAAATGCGGTCCTCCGTTGTAGAGTTCGCCCACTCCTGGCCTAGACATGTCAGACTGTAATACTGAAGAGATGCAAGATCGTCGCTGCTTATTCGTAATCCTCTAGTTACAAAACAGCTTTCACTGTTGCGTAGGAATGCTTACCGTTTGTTCGGCAGCATATTCTTTCAAAGCCAAAACGTTTTGGCTCAGGTTTTTGCCCCTGAGCCTTAGACATGTCTTCCAGGGGTCTGCGGAACAGCTCGAAACCCGCGTTACGGATGCTGTGTTCAGATTTTAAATATATTCAAATTGATAAGAAAGATATTCCTTTGTTTCGTTGATCAGAGACACTCGTTTGATAACAGTTACCCACAGGAAGTTCTCGAAACATTTAATTTATTTAAAGAGGGGATATAACGTCGTATAGTCCGTTGTAGATCAACCGACGTTTTTCAGAAATACAGTAGAACTTGGTTATAACGTCATCAAAGGGACCTAAAAATAGTGTCGTTATAAACGAATGTCGTTGTAACCGAAATGGGCACTTCCACAGTAGCCTTATGTTAGTCACGTAAAAATCTACCAAAAACCGAGTTAAAATGTTGCATTTTTTAGTGAAATACGTAGTTAAGTACAGACTAACGTAACATTAACGTGGAATTGCCCAAATGTGTAATATCAAAGACATATTACAGCGCTTTTCACTGACAATACACACAATATTTCACGAATCACTTTAACTTTCTCTTCAATGCTTAAAACTTTCCTTTTCATTGCCATGTTTTCGCTACTGCACTTCTCTGGGTTTAGGCAGGAACACTATAGGGTAAGTAGACAATGTGAGGTCCTGTTAGACGAGATTCTAGGAAAGGAATGCAGTTAACAACCTGCCGCGTCCTCTTGCACTATTCACGCAGTCCCACCCCACACCCTTGTTTTCGCATAAAACCCACGCTCCTCTTGCAGCCCGCGGTCGTATTCTTCCAGGACAGTCACGTCAGCAAGTAGAGAAAGTGAGGGTGGGCAGACACATCGAACTTTCCCACGATATCAGAGAAATTCAGGAATGAAAATGACGTTACATACGAGGTTGATGCATTTGTGCATGTCGTACTAAGCAAGGTATAAAAACAGTTGCTTTATGAGGAATTAGTTCGTACCATTGAATATTTGACGCAGTAGACAAGGTGTCGCAGAAACCGATGTTGCTATAACCAAGTTTTACTGTATATTCAAATTGATAAGAGAGATATTCCTTTGTTTAGTTGATGAGAGAGACTCGTTTGATAACAGTTACCTACAGGAAGTTCTCGAAACATTTAATTTATTTAAAGAGGGGATATAACGTCGTATAGTCCGTTGTAGATCAACCGACGTTTTTCAGAAATATATGGGTTCCATCTTCAGGGTGAAAGAGTAAATCAAGAAACCAGCATGAAGCAGGCAACGTTCCTTCGAAACGTCTATTCATGTTATTGTATCCTATAAGATAGAACCCTTCATAGCCACTGCGGTGAGAAATTCAGATCCATCAACTTATTTGCTGAACACAGTTTTAGAAAACACTTTACAGTAATTATCGGTCAGCTTGTATGAATTATTTTAGGTGTGTGCATCTAGCGATATTGCTGCGTTATTCTAATGCTGGTGTGCAGTCTGTGTTGCGGGCCGGCGCCTCCCTGCAACAAACGGCTTCAGCAGAAAGTTCAACGTGACGGCCACCTGTTAATGATTAGGGGTCTGTGTTGGGGAAGACGAGTACGGTCGTTGTTGTATCAAGGTCTCTGACCTACAAAACCTGTTTAACGTGAATCAGTTTTGTTTGAGGCGATACATACACTGCCTCATCTCACGTCGCTGTATTTCCTCTTCGTCGTATTCTCACACACACGGTTTCTTCTTTGATTCAGAGTTTCCTATTTTATACTGCCTTCTCCGTTTTTTATTTTATATTTAAGCCCGTTTTTGGGATCATTTCTTCCCTGGAAAGTCCCGTTGTTCGGAAACATTAAAAACTGAAATGTTAATTGTCCCAGGACAGTTCACAACATCGCTGGGTGTTTATTGAATTCGCTCCTTCCGTTCTGTACGCAAGAATAAATTCGAGATCCGCGGAGCAGATTTTTATGAAATTTCAATTTGGAGAGTTTTAGTAAAACCTGTTGATGCATTCAAATTTTGGTTTAAATGGGTGAAGCGACGGGCACTTCGCATGAAGTCTACATGCATTTCTGTGGACATCTCGGGTGTTAAATATTTATTGGAGCGGAAAATGTTTCGAAACGACGTTGTAGATGAAAATGAGGTACATGTTTTATGTACAATGTACGCTTTCCTATCTCTTCGATTTTCTAAATAATTAAAGAGCACGGATGCTATGCGTACGTTTCATAAGTTTCATATTCGGCACTCAAACTGTGGTCTTTCGAACACAGTGAATTTGACTGTGGCCCGTTATGCACCACCACAGTTAAATTAAGCTTCTCTCTGAGTTTATAGGACAATACACATACTCGTTTAAATGTAATTGATCATACTTCCGAAGTCCTTTTCTCTTTATGATATTGCTAAGTCAGTTTCCACGAAAGGAAATGTTTCAGTTGTTTTAGCGAAATATCACTATCATAAATTCGATCGTTCTAAACTGCATCCAACCGAGATTTGTTTTATTCTTTTCATGTAGTAATGTTATATTTTAGCGTCCTGTTGCACTGATTTAAGTCCATGATTTATTTAATCCGTCTTGCAGTGCATACATTCATTTATCTCCTTCTTTCCCTCGCACTACATGTTTCGGCATAATAATGCCATCTTCAGGTGCTTACTTGTCCACGTCAAACCAGTTCATTGCANTGTGGTATCCTGAACAATTTTAATACTTTTAACGTTTGACAATGTATATGATAGATACATATTTTAGTTATTTTAATGTGTGAACATGGCATGCAATGAACTGGTTTGACGTGGACAAGTAAGCACCTGAAGATGGCATTATTATGCCGAAACATGTAGTGCGAGGGAAAGAAGGAGATAAATGAATGTATGCACTGCAAGACGGATTAAATAAATCATGGACTTTTCATGTAGTGCTTTAGTAGAGTATTGTACGGCTTTATATATAATGTTATTTTAACGTGTGTAATGACAGTGGATAGTTACATGTGAATTTATCGTTTGATTAATATAAGCGAAGAATTAATTCTGATCTCATTCACTCAGTTTGTGTAAGAAGACAACATTTAAGTTATAGAACATTAATTCCCTTCCTTAAAATAGCAACATTTTCTCCAATACGTAGTTTCAAGAACGTGAATGTGAGCTTGAGAGCACCTCAGTGATCTAGTGGTCAGAGGTCCTGGCTACAGATCCAGAAGTCCCGGGTTCGATCCCCGGCGCTGCCAGAGTTTCTGAGAAGAAGT